ATATATATGTGTGTGTGTGTGTGTGTGTGTGTGTGTGTGTGTGTGTGTATATATATATATACACAATCAACTTTCAGTTTTCTAGGCTGTCACTGTGAAATCTGACTTGGTCGACAAAAGTGTTTCAATTTTTAATCTTTCCAATTTGTACTGTGCTACAAAACATAACAAAAAAGAAGAAAAAAATAAAATGATACCTTTTGATTGAGAGCAATCAAAAACATTTGCCACACTTCTTATTGAATTACCATGTTCTCTCTTTTTTGATATTTGCTATTTTYTATGTGTTTTTCCTATGTTTTGTTTTTATTTTTTAATTAAAAACATTCATGTTTTTATCTAAAGTCATGTTTGGACTTTTGGTTTAAAGATGATTAAGCATCTTTTGTCATTTATGAAGACCGTRAAAAGCAATTTTGGTGCAATTTAACTCAAAAATTTTCATTTGAAAATCAAAAATAGCCTGCTGCTTTCAATAAATATTAAGGAAATATTCACAGAAATAAAAAAGTGTGTTCATACTGTAATTTGCATCATAGCTTAAAATGATAAATAAATAAAAACCTGCACATATGTGACCCATCATATCGAAATGAGGATTAAGTCAAATTTGGTCAAAATGACTTCCTGATATCATTAATGGAACTAGAGAAATGACTTAATTTGTCTTGTTGGTTACAATAATACATTAATATTTGGTCTGAATACAAATTTTATGTAAATTTTACGAGAAATTATTCATTTCATTATGAAGAGGAAACCTCAAATAGTATTTGAATATTGACATTTCCCAGTTGGAAAGAAATAAAAACTTTGCTAGCTCACTGGGAAACTCTCCTCAAAATCAGTTTTTTTGTTGCTACTGCTCAAAAAAGTGTTTCAAAAATTTTTTTTAGGATTATATTTCACGCAGTTCATTCAAATGAAACATTGATAAGACATTTATTTGTTATATTTTGACGAAATTCAATTTTTGTAAGTGTTTAAATCAAAACACTATTTCTGCCTATTCTCCATTAACCACTTTTAGACTTAATCCTTGTTTTGACGTGATGGGTCACATATACAGTATTGATTATAGCAGGCTTATTTCCTTTGTTTTTGTCTGTAATATCACAGGGGCTACAAAGCCAGGCTCTCYTGTGGACCCTGGGAAACAGTTCACCTACATTTGGCGCATTTTGGATGGCCCATCTCCATCCGATCCTCCCTGCGTTTCTTACTTGTACTATTCTGCCGTTGACCCTGTCATGGACACCAACTCTGGACTGTTTGGACCTCTGCTCGTGTGTAAAAAAGGGGTGCTGGGGAAGGATGACGTACAGGTTTGTATAAGCATTCTTTCCCCAAAAAATGTAAACATTTAGGATGTTGTTTAAATAATTCCTAAATCTAGTTTTTATTTAAAGCCGATGCCAAAATGCATCTTCTGCAAAGTCTAAACATCTTCACTGCTTTATGTATTGTTTAACAGGCAGGTATTGACAAGGTGTTCTTCCTCCTTTTTGGCATCATCGATGAAAACTTGAGCTGGTATTTAGACAAGAACATTGAGCTGTTTGGCAYCACTGAGACAAATAAAGAAGATGCAGCCTTTGTGGAAAGCAATAAGATGCATGGTAATCAGTTTGATCGACTCTGTGTAGTTTTGAATAATTTGCAGCGTCATATTTTAACACCATTGTTACGACTGTCTTTTTTCCCCTCTCTCTCTCTCTCTTTCAGCTGTCAATGGTTACATGTATGGGAACCTTTTTGGACTGGACATGTGTGCCGGGGACAACGTTGTGTGGTACACCTTTGGGCTGGGCTCAGAACAAGACATACATGGCATTTATTTTGAGGGAAACACATTTAAGAAGGACAGCACAACCAGAGACACAGTCAGCCTYTTTCCTCACACCTCAAAAACTTTCTCTATGCAGCCAGCGACTCCAGGTAACATATACGATGGTTCTTTTTATGTGCAGTTATTTGCACACACATAGTTCCACCTCTTAAAACAACCCTGTCACATTGATCATGAGTGCTTCAAGAAGTGTTTGACTCCAACCCCTAAACTCTCAACATAACTCGTAATAAAATACAGGAAATGTAAAACAAAACTCAAAATAGCAAGAAGTGTCAAAGCTTTAAACCATTTCCTCCAATTGTTCTTTATTTTTATTTACAGCATTTGTTCGTGTCATCACTCAGGCCAGTGTTTTTGTACAAGCTGTTGTGTTTGAATAAGGATTATGCATTGCTTGGGTTACAAAAAAAAAAAAAAAATCAAGGGTTCAAGTCAGTCTATTTCAGTGGTACAATAAATTTTTTTCTCTCACAATTCTCCATAAGCAGTCACTAGATATACCAACTGATTACCTTTTTGACTGATCTTAGCAAACATTAAAAATGGCTACATATCTGTCAAATTTATAGATATTCCACAATGAGAAATATAAGTTGAGAGTGATCCAAAATAGAAACTCCAAGCACTCTCAGATCATACAAGATGTTTGTGTAAAACATCACTATTAATTATTGTAACTAACCTTGTCTGTCTGTTTGTAAAATATTTCTTGACTGATTGGTTTGTAATGAGATTCTCTGTAAGTAATTATTGGATGTACGTCTATATGTGGTTAACTTTTGGAGTCAACCAAATTAAAAATGCCTACACAACCAAATGACATTTGCAAATTCAAAAATGGCTATAACTCAGTCAGTTTTACAGAAACTGAGCTAAAAAAAAACTCGTTTGGTTGTAGCTGAGAGTTATTCTCAACACAAACACTAAATGCTAACTGATTGCATTGCTAAAATTTAAACAGCAGACATTAAAGCAGATGGAAAATAGTTTCATCTGCCTGACTCTTCTGTTCCCAAAACAACTGATTACAGAAGCTGGCTCCCCTACAACAGCCTTGATCTGTTGACTAAATTCTTCCTGGCTGGACTATGTCAACAAGGCTCTGCCCCACACCTTCCCCCTCCTCTAACACCCATCTAATCTGGTTTCCTGAGCAGGCTGAGGGCCTCACAGTATTTCTTAACATCGGAAGATGTGAGTTTTAACCACAAGCATGGAAGCCTGTGCAATTTGCATTCCAATGAATACTAAATCTTTTAATACTAGCAATTTATTTTATTTATTCACAAACCAAAAACTGATTAACTGAAAATTTCAAAGGAAAAATTAGCTATGTCATTTAGGTTCTTCCTATGAAAAGACGTAAACCCCTCTATCAAACTAATGGAAGCTGAAGGGGAGTGGGGTGTGAAGCACCTCATTTGGATTTAAAGAGACAGCATCAAAACGAGTTGATTTGAGACACATCTTAGAACAGAGGTGAAGGAGGGGTTTGTGGAGTTACAATAAGTAATTCAGACCAAAGCATTGCAGTTCCACTTTATATAGACCAAAAGATTAATTTTTTTAAATTTTAAATCATATATCCAGTGGTAATTATAGACAACAGGAAGGCAAAAGAAACATGTTGTTTAAGTGTTTGACTTATTGTATTTTCCATCTGGTAGATGAGTTTGAGGTCAACTGCAGAACAACCGACCACTTCTCAGCTGGTATGAGGCAACTTTACAGGGTGAATTATTGCCCTGGAAAAAAACCGCAAGTCTTTACGCCATCCAAGACAGTGCAGTATTTTATCAGCGCCGAGGAAATAGAATGGGACTACTCCCCTAGTCGAGTCTGGGAGCTGGAGAGATTCCAAACAACTGCAGATAACAGGTGAGTAAAGCARGACTGTGGGATGATGTGTTTTGGTTTGGGAGCGGGAGCTTGTGATTAGTGGCCTAGCTTATTACTGTTTACTAACGGAAGCAAATTGCTACGTCTCCCAGTCCAGGCAATATATATGTGGGAAGTGCAAGTGACAGGATCGGACCCAAGTATAAGAAAGTTGTGTACAGAGGATACACTGATGACACCTTCACAGTTCAGAAGAAACAGCGCAACCAGGAGCACCTAGGGATTCTAGGTAAGTTTAGCTGTTCCCTGTGTTGTTTTTACCCCCACCCCCACATTGTCATCCAGACAATGAATGATACAGATAACTTTTACTCCCTCCTATAGGTCCAATGATTTATGCAGAGGTTGGAGATGAAATTGTAATTACATTCAAAAACCAAGCCACTCGGTCGCATTCTATTAGCCCACATGGAGTTAAGACCAGTGGTGCGCATATTGCTGTCCCACCAGGTGAGAATCACTTAAGAAATTTTTATTTATCTCCTGTCCTCTGATCAAGATTTAAAAATCACATTTTTAGTAGCAGATGGGTTGATTTACAGTTTTTTTTTTGTTTTGTTTTGTTGTTTTTTTTTTTTTTTTTGCTTTGAGGCCACATCTTTAAGGCGACTTGGGATGTTCCTGAGAGCTCTGGACCAGGGCCCACTGATCCTAACTGCATCTCCTATGCCTACTACTCTACTGTTGACTTCGTCAAGGTACACCTTCCTTTTCTGATGCAATATGTACATAAAACACTTTACTTCCAGTTTAATTTGAATGTTTGAACAATAGCTGATACATCTACCACTGAGCAAGTTCATGTGCTTCTMTTCAGGATCTGAACAGCGGTCTTGTGGGGCCTCTGGTAATATGTAGACGTGGGACTTTGCATCACGGCGGTGGGCCCGACAGACACAGGAGAGACATGGATGAGGAGTTTGCTCTGCTCTTTATGATATTTGATGAAAATCAGTCCTGGTACATAGACTACAACATCAGACATTACCTTAACCTCGACCCTACCACTTTTCAAAGAGATGCAGACTTTATTGAGAGTAACAAGAAGCATGGTAAGAGAAGAAAGGGCGTGCATAGAAAGAGAAAAAAATATACATGTTTGGTTTTAGATTTACATCAATACAGTCTACAGTTTTTTCTGAAGTGTTCCTAAAAAAGAGAAATAAATACTTTGTCTTATATTTGTTAAAAGACTATTTTTAAAAGACTATATTTTATATGTATAAAGTAGAGACTAAATATTTAGATCACAGCAGAACCAAAGTTACAGAAAGTCATTCAATGCACATAGATTAATAGATTATGTCTCAATAATGTTTTGTGTGTTCTAATGCATGATTACATTAATTTTTTTGTGTGTCTGTTTATTACAGGAATAAATGGTAAGTTATATGGTAACCTTCATGGACTAGTGATGACGCAGGGCCAGAAAGTTGGCTGGTATCTGATGGGACTGGGCAACGAAGCAGACGTGCACACTGCTCACTTCCATGCTGAGACTTTTACTTACAAGGTTTGTTTGTCACTTTTGACCTAAAGACCCTCTCTGTGCTCACAAAGGAAGTTTTCTTAACTCAGGACATTTCCTCTTATTTGTTTCCTTTGTGGTTCTGAATGTGTTGTGTATGTGTGTCAGATGGATCGCAAGCATCGTGGCGACGTCTTTGATCTGTTCCCAGGGATTTTCCAGGAAGTTGAGATGGTTGTAGGAAACCCTGGAACATGGTTTCTTCATTGTCACCTCAATGACCACATCATGGCTGGCATGGAGACCACATATACCATCAAAGGTAGGTGTAAAATGTGTTTTGTGTGCATGTGTGAAAACGTCACATACTCTGTGTATTCATATTTGAGGTCCACTAAAATGCACTTTTCTAATATGTCACTCTTGTGTTTTTTCGGTTCCAGAGAAATCTTCAGAAGGTGCGTACAGTCTAACTTCTGACATTCTAACAGGTTTATTTAAAATGAGGGGGAAATGAAATTCAGACTTGGACTACAAGTAACTCTTTGTAGATTGAACACAATGTGTCTGTTTCAAAATTTAGCATTCKGCTGTTAATATGTTGGTGCAAATGTAGAGTGGTTATGGAAGAGTCATCCTGTAAACTTCTTTGAGTGTCCTAAAAGTGCTGTGTAAGTTTGATGTATTACAGTGGTTTGCAAAAGTATTCATACCCCTTGAACTTTTCCATATTTTGTCACATTACAACCACAAACATAAATATATTTCACTGGAATTTAATGTGAAAGACCAACACAAAGTGGTATACTTTGTGTTGGTCTTTCACATTAAATTCCAGTGAAATATATTTATGT